CTCTTTTACTCTTTACAACTGCAGATAGCTGCATTGTCAAAAAGTCAAACCCTAGCTCCTCCTCTCCAAATTCTTCCCTTCTGACCTGCACTTTTCTGGACCGAACCTTTTGTCTTATCTTTTTCTGGACTTGACTCACATCCCCCCCCCGTCCCTTCCTTCCTCTCCTCTTGTTTCCTAACTCTTGTATCTGTCATACCTGGCTTCTCACCTCCTCTCTTCTTTTGCCTTGTGCTCCTCTTCCTACACCTTTCACCTTGCCATCAATATCCCCTCTCTGAACTTTAGTTTCCATTTGCTCACCTTTCCCTCCCTTTCCTCCCCCTTCTCTTCCCCTCTTCCTCTGGTGGGTTTTACAGCCCCCAGGAGGAGCTCTCCATTGTGGCTTAGCATCCAATAAGGTTCTTAGTGTGTAACCTCTGTTAAAAATACACATATGCTCAAACGTCTAACTATATAGCTTTTTCAAAGGACGGCATAGTTCACTAGTGCACAGTTTTTGTTTACTAAAGTGTAAACAACAACTTAAGTGTAATCTAGGGCTAGATGAGCCACTGTCACATGGGGAGGCTTGCAGGGTGTTGTCTGGGAAAAGCAGAAACTGTCGTTGGTCTAAAGCCCCCCAGGGAGTCGTAGAAGACATTAGTACAACCTGTAGCTTAGAACCTCGCTTCACTCTGAGAATGCCACATCGAGTCCCTTGCACATACACTGCACACTTGCACATTGACATTTTTCTGGTCTCTCACACACACACAAACCACTTGAGGATTAAAAATAACAGGCTCCTAAACAATAAAAGGCTGAAGCATTAATTTCTCTTTAACAGTCATACAAAACACCTGGGGTCACTCTGAGGCCTGGACAGTCACACAAGGCAATGGCACCAAATCAAGAACACAGGAGGGCGTCTGTTGGACTCTTTTCTTCAAGCGTTTCAGTTTTTTCCCCTGTGACAGAAGACAAGAACATGTAAACAACAACAAAAAAATCAACGAATTGCTGAATATGTTTGGCTTCAACTGTTTGTGCATGTGCACGCTCCTTGGGTTGACACAAAATATTAAAGTATACAAATGTGTAACTGTAACCTTTTTTTTTTTCGTAAACTGCTGATTGAGTTGGTTTGCAAACAGTTACGGGTGTTGTCGTCTTTCATACAGTGAGGACTGCTAAAAGCCGTTTCTTTGCCTTCACTCAGGAACATGAGGAGTTAATTCTGTGGTAGTTTCAGTGACTAATCAACAGGGTGATGTGTTGTTTCTTGTTGAGGAGTTTTCACAGTGATTCAAACTTGTTCTTGAACCTCAAACAGTTACTATAAATGAGGCCATTGACACTCTTAAAAGAAGTCTGCAACAATTTTGCTAATTGATTTCACCATTTCAGTCATTTTTTTGAGCCTGACTCACACAGTTGACCCCAGCATCTCGAATGTGTCAGCATATTGGAACTTGGGATGGACACTTTTTCGTATTTTCTTCTTAACAAAATGGAAAAGCACGTGCTGCTCAGTTTGTGTTGAAAACAATCAATCAGCCCCGGGGTATTTACAGTAGTGTAGCAGAGAATCTAGTCTCCAAGTGACCCTGAACTCATTGCTCTTTTCTGTACTGTCAAAAGAAATGTTTTTTTCCCATGGCTGCAAATTGCTGGTTAAACGCGCGCGCACACACACACCTACAATCTCACAAACACTGCATAGCTCTTCAGTGACCACATGTATTCTCATTTGTAGTCCTAAGCAGCGCCGCACAGTCAGTGGAGGTTGTTTGTGCAGATCTCTGTGCTCAGGGGGGATTTTAAGCTTCCTCTGTTTTATTCCCTCATTGTCCTGCTACTGTATCCTCAGCATTGTCTCAGTCAGAGATTTACTGTCACCGGCCTGCCACACCAGCTGGCCTGCTGCTAAAAAGGTGTCAGGGAGAGAAAGCTGTCATTCTCATTAGCCCTACTTGACAGATTTACAGGGGCCAAATACAGCATGGACTGAGACCCTTTTGCAAAATATCAAAGTCATTTTGCTTTTTATTTCCCATTTTCTATCTTTATGGAGCAGTCTTTTCTTACACTTTTTTTTTTTGCTCTCTCTCTCTTTCTCTCGCTCTCTCGACAGGTATCACCTGGTGAAGTTGTTAGAGAAGTTTGGCAAAGTGAAACAGTTTGACTTCCTGTTTCACAAGTCTGGGCCTTTGGAGGGACAGCCACGAGGCTACTGCTTTGTCAACTTTAGCACCAGGGAGGTACGTGCAGCATGTTTATCTGCATATAAATGTCAGTTGTGTTAAAAGGTTTGTTTGTTTTGTTTGTTTTATCATTTCTAAAAGTAAATCCTCAGTTGGCAGGAGTAAAACGAATCATTTCATCAGTATAGGAAAAATATTTGAACTTAAAGATCTGATGAGAAACAATTTTCATCCACTATGAGTTGGATGTTTTATGAAAATGACCCAAACTGAGTGTAAAAATGTTCATGAGTCAACCTGAAGCAGTGTGCGTGTGTGTCCTGTTGAAGTGGGCTTTATAGGGAGCAGGTTTAAGCTTCACAGGTTGTTTTGGAGCGCGCTGTGGGATTGAGATAAGCATCTAGTTTCACAGCTAGTGTCTGTCAGTGGGATATGAAGCCCTCCCAAAAGGATTATACAGAGGAAGTGTGTGTTTATCTTTCACACTCACACACACTTACATGTAGACACGCTTGGATAAAGAACTGCATTAATATAATTTAGCAGCAAAGCCACTTGCACATTTGATTAGATAAAACTGTATTTATTCACACTGCCTCTCATACACACAGCCACACACTCAGACACCTCAGTTATGGCCTTCTGCTGTTATGAGGACTAATGATTTAATCACTCGGATGCAATCATCAAAGCTGATTTTTAATCACGACTTAAAAGCCGCCCCTCTGTCTTTCTCTCTTTTCCTCTTCCTTGTTTTCTCTGTGTTTGTGTTTCTGTGGCTGCATGCAGGAGGCTGAGAGGGCTATCCAGTGTTTAAATGGGAAGCTAGCTTTGTCCAAGAAGTTGGTTGTGCGCTGGGCACACGCACAGGTGAGGGTAAGTATCACGCTCACTCCCAGCATACAATACTGCTCTGAATGTGGCTGAAATTTTGGGTTTAATCTGCAGGTATAGAGACTAAATATAAATATTAGATCTGTGCATTAGAAAAATGTTAGGCTCGCTAATGACCGAAGGGTTGGGAGAAATTACCAAAATATCTTAAGATGAGGGACATGTGTGAAGGCAGAGGTCAATCTGGCTTAGGGTGAAAGATAAAAATGATCCGCCAGTAGTGGTTTTAATTTTAGTGTTTTTGCTGTCAGAGCCAGTTTACAGAGAGCACAGGGATCCCAGCACAACCAGCATGCCTGTCTGTTAACAATAGAAAGCCTACTGGCGAAGGGTGAAAGGATATCCTGTATAGAGACGAATCACGCCCTACACACACACATACACACAAACACATGGTAGAAGGGGGTCAAGGTCAACGCTGCCGCCTTTAAGAGAACACGCTGTGAGATAAATCTGCTCAAAGATTTACCTAATAACAGTTCAATCAACCGTTTCAAGCAAAAGTAGTAGCTGTTTATATTCATGCTTCTACAAGTGTTCATTTAAAAAAAAAAAAAAAAAAATTTTTGTGCCACTAATATAAATGACCTTTAACCACTTAAGTAACAATCTCCCAACATCTTTGCCACTCGCCTTAGCTCACATGCACTTTTTTAGGTGCGGTACTATGAAATCAAACATTTCCTTGCATAACTATTGTCCAGTTATGCAAGTCAGTTATGCAGCTTGCATAACTGCTGCATGTAAAAACACTTCCATGCAAGAAGCATCTCTAGCGTAGGTTATACTAACAGGACGGTTAATCTCGTGAATAATTCAGTGTACTGTAGTGAGTGAATATAATCAGCTGAACAGGGTCTGGTTCTGACCCCTTTTTTTTCTTCTTTTTTTAATAATTAGCAGTACGTGTAGGCTAATATAAATAATTATCAAACTTAATAATTGTTTTATTCTTTTAAAGCTTAAAATGACATATTAACAGTATTTTCAAGTCAAGTCGGGGTCATCTTAGATTCGACAGGCCCCAGACTGTAGCGTCAAGTTTGTTAATGTGAGGATTTATATGAATAAACAGGTTTTTGACTCTTTGCCTGCATGGCAGGCATACAGTAAATGCTGGTTCCTCTCAGTAAATACCATTTTCTGTCTATCAGCTCAGGCAGTTAAAACACAGTCTTGGAGAATATATATCTCGCTGTCCTCTCTGTCGCATACGTGACTAACAGAGTCGGAGAAAGTGCAAGTTTTTTTAGGAATTAGTTTTTTAATTATAATTAAATTGTCAGTGGGTTATAGACTGGGGTTGACCTTGGCTTCCAGCGAATGTTGTTGGTATTCTTAAGCTTTGTTCTGTTAAAGTAAGCTAGATATGCGCATTTTTCCACTCTGCTGCAGTGTGTTGATGGACGGTCGTGATCATGTGACCCTGCAAACTGTCCTGCTAGACTTGATTGCTATAATTAAAGTTTCACAACAGGGAGTATCTCCGCCTAGCCTGCAGACATGGATTTGCCTGCCTCCTGGCAGAAATGAATTCACACATCACCATTATCATGCCCTTTGTGAAAATAAGTTAATATTTCAACCACAGTCATCTTCACATTGTTCATCAATCTTTCTCCCTCACGTTGTAGACTCCCCCACATTTTCTTATTGTGAGTTTTAGGCGAGGAAAAGAGTAGAGGTTTAAGCATGACCCATGTCGTATGTTCCAAAAAAGATGGCACCGCAACGCTCAACTTCACCCATCACCTCAGGACCTTTTTCCTAAGAGGTGTCTGATCATTAAACCTCCTTCTAAAGCATGCGATATGTGCGCTTTTCCCCTTTCTTAACCTTTGTTTGATGCATAATTTCAAGGGTTATGTTTCTTATTAGCTACAGAGATTACAACATGGGGTCAATTGCAGATCACCGCCAATTCCAGTGAAGCCGGTATACTGATATTTCAAGTGGACTAGTCTGTGAATTGCGAGTCACTAATTTTTGCAGTCCCGTCTTTGTGAGCAATCTTCCACTGATGGAGCCAGCTCAGGTTAAATTAAAAATGAATTACATTTTTGTCAGCCTGTCTTCATTGAGTCCAACCCAGGATGTGTGCTGGGATATGTGAGTCACAGACGGGTGGTGTTGAAGTTATCCAATCGTCCAGGCTTACATCTTGATTTTATTTAAAGCTTTGAAATGGAGGGAATTACTCTGATGATCATTTATTTAAGGATGTCCACAATCCTCAGATTTCCAAACCTGCAACTGTTAAAGATGGCGTATTTTATACCCATACTTATATAAGTAAGCTTATCTATGATGCATGCTACCTTTGGAGATGAAATGATTTGTGTGGCTAAAAGGGTGCAGTGCTAATTTATCAGCTTATCCTAGTGAGCTTAGTTAGCAAGTGCAACACACAAACACACTTATCAGCTTATGCTTGTGTCAGGGCGCCTGCCGTGACCCTACCTCTAACTGAGTTACCCAGTTGGATGAGTAAAAAAAATACCCTCACTCGGAGTTGATCTGAGAGTAAACTATTATTTTTTTTTTATTACCAGGTATGTAAGTTTGCTTTTTAATGCTGCAAAGTGGAGCATTTTAGCATGGGAGTCTTTGGGGTCTCATTCCTTTTTTGAGCCAACCTCAAGTGGCCACGAGAGGAACTGCGGTTTTGTACACTTCTTCTTGGCTTTATTTGTTTGTACTCCGTGTTGTGTAATATGCTTTTAATTTTAAAATATCAAGTTATTTTAAAAAGTAATCTATTACATTAAAGCATCATGTATGCATTAGTTACTCGTTTGAGTTTGTTTGCTTTACTAGAAACAATAAACGGTTTTTATTTAGTTTGTGCATGTTGATTATTCATCCTGAGCGTGTGAAGTCTTCTTAGTGTATTGAGTTTACTTTATGATATTTCCAGCACCTCCTCAACTATATTACCACCCGGTTGGGTGAACTTGTTACTTATTAGAAAGTAAAAGTTATTGGTGTCATATTGTAAGGTGATACATCCAACACTGAATGAATGTACAAAACAAAAGTTTAACTACATTTGCTATGCATTTCTCACTTGTCAGCCAGTTATAGTGCAGTAATTTAGATATATAGATTTATTAACCTAATTTAAAATGCTATCTCCTGAAAAACATAAATTTAACAACCCAAATTTAGCTTTATTTGCAGGTTTTGGAGTGTTTTCAGATTCAGTGTGCTCTTGTTGGCTGCATTCAGATCTCTATGCATTCCAGCCACATGCCTTTAGGAATAGGTGGAAGGGAAGGGTCCTGGCTGGTTGCATGGTCATTGTTTTTACTCTTATTCTTGGCTATACATGTTGTTTATTTCATGGGACTGTATGTAGGAATGTGTGTGCGTGTGCTGTGCTGCATTTATGTAACTTCATTTAATGTCATGTGAGTCTGTCTCGCTTCCACAAGCTGAATTTTGCCAGATGGTTTCCAAACGTACTGCACACGGAAACTGCTGCGCCAAGCACTGGAGCTTATCATTACCCATCATGTGACTGTTACTTTGTTTAGATTTTCTTTTTTCTTTCTTTTTTTTCTCCACAGGTTTCAGTTTTGGCTGTTGGAGATGTTTGGAAGGTGGTTTTGAAAGGAATGAGTGCACGCGTTGGTTGTTGCTCATCAGCTGGTCCCACTTTTATCCTCGATCATCCCTTAGGGTGTGATTACAAGCCGGACGTGCTTGCTTGCTGCTTGGTTACTGTCTGTTTGACCGGAAACAAACAAGATCAATACTGTAGTTTAGTAATGTTCATATTTGTGGGAGAAAACTGGAGCTGACTTCAGAGACCTGCTGCTAGTATTTATTAAGTCTGTTGTTTTCTAAATGTCTGCCTTATTTTATTTGGCCCTGTTCAAACATAAATGTATCTCAGGGGTAAAATGCTGTTAAACTGAGATTAATGATTAGGAATTGCTTGTCTTTTTAGAAAGTTAAAGTTTGATTGATGTGTACTGTGAGCTGTAATCTATATCACAGTCCACATTATATCTTTAGGACATATTCAGTCTCTTCCACTGATTGTCTGCTTCCCTGTATCTTGTGTATCTTCTGCCATTACTTGCTCTACTTGTTATTTTACTCCTTCTGTTTATCTCTTTTCATCTGTCTGTCCATACACGTTTCCATCATTGTTTGTGTGGGTCTTTCTTTGTTTGTTTGTTTTTTGCCCACGTATGTTGTTTACAGAGGTTTGAAGGTTTTCGTAATGACAAGACGATGCCTCCCAGCCTGGAACCGTCGTGCAGCGGTTCAACAGAGGATGGATCCATAACAACCAACCACCTCAGGTTGGCATCAACAGCAGACACACACGCACACATATAAACTTTCTGCTGTTGTATCAGATTTTGTTTTTTCTCTGAGTGTGTTCACATATGAGCTGAAGCCCTGAACTTTTGTATTTGAATGGATTTGAATTGGTGTCTAATCTGTCGGCACCCAATGCAAAGATGAGCCAGTGGGCATCGAATTGCCTTCTTCTTTCTCTACCTGTCAGTCTTGCTTAAACCTAAGAAAGAATTTCTAGCAGTGAGAATGCTGCTGAAGTTTACCGTCTCCTACTACAAGAGAGAGCTCCATCTACTAAAACCTGAGCCTCATAACAGTTGCCATCCTCAGAGAAACTTTATTGCATTGAGAAGGTGATAAAATGGCAATAAGACAGTCTGCTACCAGTCAGCCTGTGATTGAACTGGATTAAGTTGGCATGTACACAGGCAGTCTATATCTGATTAACTGTGATAAATCGGTGATGATCGCTAATCTGGTGCTATCTCCTTCAATGTAAATGCACTTCAACTGCTTACATTCAGAGTCTAGCGAGAACCTCATAGATCCGAAACAGAAATTCAGATATTTCTGTTTATCTATTAACTTTTACATAGGATTGTAACCAGTTGGCAACCAGTTGAGTCGTGTCCCCAACTGCAAAGAGACCAATTGCAGACGAGTTGCAACTGACACCAGTGTGATGGCAACGTTATAAATTAAACAGCAGTTATTTGCAAACCTTCTCCAATCTGTCTGAGAGTGACTGCACTCAGTCCGAGTCAGACTGCGATTGTTTGGAGGCAGGTTGCCTTCCACTCTGTGACCCATGCATTGATTGAAAGTGGGCACCCATAGGTTAGGGTGTTGAATGCTTAAGCTCTGGGTGACCAGTTGGTTGTTATAACTACTTGCAGGGGGGGTCACTGAATGGGAAAAAAAAGTAAATGCAATCAGTAGAAAACACTTGTTTATTTTTTTCCATTCATTCTTTTCCACTCATCCAACTTTGGGGGGAGGGCTGGAGAAACCCATGAAGCATTTCATCCACTCTGGGAGTGTGACCTTTTGTTACATCCACGATCACGTCTATCTTCTGACATACTGTAACCTTAATTAACCAAGCCAGCACAAATACATGAAAAACAGAAGTTTCAGACATATTTTGGACCTCATACGGGCCTAATGTTCTCTCAAGAGCTGTTCTCTTTCTTTTAGTGTAGTCCAAGTACCTTCTGAAAACATTCACATTTAATGAAACATCCATTTTAAAAACAGTCTGAGATGTCTTAAGAAGAAAAAAAGAGCTATTTCAACAATGTTCCTCAGTTTTTCCACATTCAGTTGGTCTGCTGTAATTATACTTGCATTACAATTTTACAGATAAAAGTGGAGCTTAAAAAAAAAAAACACGCAAAACTCACACGCTTGAAACGAAACAATAGTATTTTACTCATTTATGATTGAAATAATCATTTATGATTTAGAAAAAGTTTAGCTATCCTCACTGCTCCACCTCTCCAGCAAGAGCAGTGCAATTTGTTAAAGAAAATGAGTTATTATTAGCTCCTCAGCCATTCTGATACTTTGTAAAGCTGTCCAGCAGGCTGGATTTGACCCTTTGCCAGGATGCATGTCTGACACCTCTGCTATAAAACATTCTTCACGGTACTCAACTGTGGTGCTGAAATTATTGAAAGACCACATTGGCTCCAAAGACATCAATGGAAGTGTTGAAATTCTGTCCGACTCCAAAGTTTGCCATTATAGCAGCCACATTTGCAGCCCTTATTCCCATATACACACTTGCAGGTCAACCAATTAAATAAATAAAGCGCTGTTAAGTCACTCTGTGGCGTTTTCGCCTCCTACTGAGGTAATATAGCCTAGAGTCACAGCAAAACGTATAATACACAGCATGTATTTTATGCAGTCTACTCAGTGAGTATACATCCCACTGGCAACCAAAAAAAGGCAACTCTTGGACTTCCTTTACTATTTTGGGGCCTTTTTAGCCTTTATTTTGATGGGATGTTGAAGAGAAGACACTCAGCAATTGGCCTCACGGTGGATTCACCTTACCATTGTGAGGTAAAGCTGTGCGCTGATCAATGATCTTTTCATTAACATAAACAACAGTTTTAGGGGGATTAATAATGCATTTGCAACCTATTTAAAATAAGACAAATGGAGTGTAAAAACGGTCAAATGCCAAATTAGGTTCCCCGGCGTGAGCAGACTCACTGAGCAGAGTGTTTTTTTACCCTTTAAATGTGGAAGCTGTTAATTTTGTGTAAATATGTGACAAGTCGTGGTTGGAAAAAAAAAGAAGTAATTTCATGTTGTTGTGCAGGAACCTCTCATCTATCTGCTGCAAACTTCAAAGTCACTCCATCTACACAGCACAAGAGAGGAAATATACACTATAGCCCTCTTTTTTTCCCTGATGGCCCCTCTATTGTTTTCCTCTCCAGTTTTTCTTTTTCTTTTTTTTTTTTGCTACTTCTCGCACATACTCATTCCCTCATTTTCCCACCGCCTCCCCACAAGCACTGCAATTTTTTCCCACAATCTTATCTCCTCTGCTTCTCCAAATTCTGTTTCACCATTTAAATAAAAGTAGTGCTCTGTTTCACTGTTCATTCTTCTGTATTTTTTTTTTAAAACCTGTCCACCCCCCTCTCACTAAGACTGCTATTACCTCCTCTTTCTGTCCCCCAGAGTCTGTCCATCAGCCCTATTTGTCCCTCACACTCAGTATCAACACTATATTTCCCCCCCAGCCTCGCTGCTAACACCTCCTCTCATTTTTTTCCTTCTTCCTCCAGCACGAGTGCTAAGATCCGCGCCATCGAAGCCAAGCTCCAGATGATGGAGGAGAATCCAGACGATAGCTACTCAGGCCCGTCTGCCTACGTTTACAACAAGCCGCCGGAGAGGAAACGCTGGGAGCCCTACTCTAAATCACACCACAGCAACCAGAGCAGGCCCCGCAAGTTCAGGAGATGACCCATCCTCCCACTTATTCTATCCCCAGCCACCCACCCCTTCCTCTCTAATCCCAAAGCCAGCGTCTACACCTCAGCCCCCACCTCCACACAAACAGTTTCCACATTCAGTGCTTTCGACTGTCCTATGTGGGGAAAATAAAAGCTCTCGAAGGTGAACCCTGACTGTTAAGGAGTAACCACAGCCATCATGGACGGCACCCAAAGTGGGTTTGGGGTTTTTTTTTTTAGTTATTTCAGGTCTCAGAATCATCGGCAGTTATTTAGCCGGACATGTGACCCAAACCTGGCTGACGTGCAGGTCGGGCCTCTCGTCGGCCTGCCTCGTCACGATTTGCAGCGATTGAACACAGTTGAAAGTGTTAAGCGGTGTAAACGCTGCTTCTCGTTTTGTTTTGAACACATCTTCTAACTTCCAGATCACATTATTTAATTAAGGAATATGTTTCTTTTGGAGGGTGGGTTGGGCTTCGGTTTGTCCTAATTGGTTACTATTAATGGAGTGTAAAAATAATAAGCCACAAGCCGCTTAGCGACTCTCACTGCGAGTTTTTGTGTGTGTGTGTGTGTGTGCGTGTGTGCGGGCATGCTTGATTTCTCCCCCTTTGTTCTTTTTTTTGGGGTTTTTTGTTTTTTTTCTTGGATCTAATTTTATACGACTGTTTTTAATGACTTTTGCGTAGCATTTAGATCCATCCCTGGTCGCATTCTTGTTATTTAAAATTCTCAATTAAAGGTAAATAATCACTTCGCTCCTGTGTTTTTCATGTTGATGGTGTTCTTTGTTGCCATTAAAATATTTTGTTTCCATTGCCCAAAAACTCCCTCTCCTCACCACATGTAACCCTTTTGTTTTGGGGTTTTTTGTTTGTGGAAAATCAGCCATCATGGATCAAATCATTTATTTAAGTACCAGAAAGAGCATCTATGTAACAACATTATCCACAATAATCATATAGTCTTAGCTATTGTAGCCTTTTGAGGCTCACTTTTCCCACTCTGATATGATGAATATTAAGTAGTTCACTATTTTTGTGCAGTTCCTGTAAATACTTCCAATATTTGTAGGCCTTTTTGTAAGACTGATTAATGTGGACAAATATTCTTTATTATAAACTGCATTTTTTTTTTCCATTTGCTGTCATATTGGGCATTTTTATTGCAGTTTGGGGCTCTTATGATTTTTTTAAAAAAAATTAAAAAAAAGAGAGACGAAATCCTGATGAGACTGTAAACTGGATTTAATTGGCAGATGGATGAATTTGCCGGCCAAATGGCCTTTTCTGTTTTTGTGAGGTTACCAAGTAGGAACTGTTGGTCTACAGCTCGCAGCGGGCTAATTATTGGAGAAGACGGAAGAGCACAATTTCGTGCAGACCGATGGACCAAATCCTACCTCTTGACATCACTCAGCTCTTCGTGGGATTTGTTTGTTGCTGTAAAATCATTCATGCGGCTGCAGAACATTTGTGAAATCAATTACAGCATTTTTTTAATTCTATTTTTATTTTATTTTTTTATTTTCCTTGCCTGTAATTATCTGTTTTCAATAAAAGGCCCACTGGATAAATATATCATTTTTAGTTCATGGATACACATTCGGGTGTATTTTTTTTCTTCTTTTTTTAAACGCTTGGATCATTTTGATGGAATAATTCCTGAAGTGTAGATTTACAGATAATTATGGATCCGCTGTGGAAAGCGGGATGATTGACATATCGATCTAAACTATTGTAGGCTCAAACATATCCTGTAATTATAAAGCTCAGCCTTTTGTTTAATGGCTCCCCGAGTTTCTGTCAGCGTTTAGATTCAGTTGCATCAGCTCCTATAGTTTATGTATTTATGTATATGTCTTTATACTTTTGCATAATTGTATTAAGGATTTACATTAAAAACAAACAAACACATTAATCTGTGGATTTAAACGTAGCGCCAGCTGTGTTTGAAAGATCTGTAAATCGTGAACATTTGCCCTACTAATATACATCTTTTACCTTTTACTTATACATCGAATTTATTCTTATTTTTTAATGAATTTTAACTTCAACCAGTTTTATTTTATAAATACATGATGCCTTAAATCGCAATATTTATGTTCTTTAAATAACTGCAAGCATAGCGACAACTGGCATTAAATTATCCAAAATATTAACGGAATTATATTTTGAATCATGGAGTTAAACTAAATCCAGTCTCTAAATTGTCCTGTCTTTAATAATGACTATTTTTCTCTTTTTTTATATATATAAATGAGTAATAAGAACATACATATGGTTTTATCCGCATATACACAAGAATCAGCGTGTATATAACAAAAACTTTGGTTTTCACGCGCAAACTTGTGCGTTAATTGCCGCATTGTTGTCAGCGGTCAACGCCAGCTGTATATTTCCAGTAGCAAATAAATGACAATCACATAAACAAGTATAATTTTATTTTTCTCCCTCTGCTGCTATAAATGTCTAAGATATCAAACATCCACCAGCAGAGCTTTGAGGAATCAGAACTGTTCCGAACTGCGCGTCCAGCCTTCTCACGCACATGAAACTCTTTACTCGCCCTCCCCCTTCTTTAACTATAAGGCAGGCCAGAGTCTCGCACAAACTTTCACTGCAGCTCTGCAGAGACACTCAGGTTCTCCGCTCGCCTGTGCAGCCCCGCAGGTCTCTGCTGAACCTCAAGAGCTTTTCTTTTTGGGGGGAGTTTTTACGAGGCGCCTCGATTTGATTCACTTCCTGTGGTCGGACCCCCGATCAGAAAAGGGAAAGAGAGAAGAAGAAGAAGACACAGAGAGAGAGAAACGTAAGAAATCTGTTGTGAAGAGCAGCAAGCAAAACTCTCCGGCGCTGCGTGGCTGCATCACTACCGTGACAGACCGTGTTCGTGTTTTAAAGAGACATTTTTTTGTAGAACAAAAGTGCGCGCCACAGTTCATTCATGGTACGGATATAACTGTTTTTCCCCATTTTTTACTTTTTTGTTTTCTTTTTCTTTTGTTTTTTCACGCCCATCGCCGACTATTCTCCTGATCCCTGACTCTGGAAACTCTGAGACGCCAGGGGTTCATGTACTGGAAAAATGAAGTGTTGTCCCCTCTTTCAGAGGGAAATAAAATTCTGTCCGAAGGAATCCCAACAAAGCAGGTACTGACACGCAATGTTTGGGCCTTTTTAGAAAAAGGTTTAAAATGACTCTACTTGCAGCTAGTCATATGTGCAGTGCGGATGCTATACTAGGCTCTAGTTTTACTGTGGGATATTTTCAACATGCCAGTTTCTTCTCTCACTGAACGGGACGGACGGCAGAAGCGCGCAGTTTCTTCGGCAGCCCCCCGGGGCGGGGATCGTGCGGGGATTTTTTTTTGTCTCTCCGCGATCTCACAAGAATCATGTTTCTTGTGTGTGTGTGAAGATCAGCTGCTTCTTCTGCGTATGAATGGCGTGATTTGCTGTCCGCGAGCCTCTCGAGCGCTGCCAACTCGCGTGAAGAGAATTAGATTTTAATTACAGCCATTAAAAATCAAATTTGCAATTCTTTGGGTGACCGTTGCCTTTTTTCCACCCTGATTGACAGTTGAAATTGACACTCCGTGTCCCTCTTATCCCCCCAGCGTTTCAAGCTATTTGTAATTACAGGTAGTCCCCCCCACCGAACACACACACACACACACACCACTCCACTCCCCATCCTCCAGTCTCGTGTCCTGGATTGCGAAGAAAATACTATTATTCTGAGAGGCATGGGTTAAGGGCAGGGGGAACAAAATCAATCCAATTTGAGATAGCTTCATTAAAACATTGCCTTTTGTTGCAGGGGGGCTTTTAAACAGGTTTAACCGGGGGTTTATTGTCAGGACTACTTTAAATAGGAGTAGCCTCGGAGAGCTGTCCGCAAATGTATCCCGAGGATTGCTCGGCTCAGCTGATGATGAGACGGAGAAAGTGATGACCTGCCGCTCACTGATCGTTTTCTTGTAGGTGATCTCCACCGAGCACCAGAGCACACCGGGAGCCTCGCGCTGCAGTGTGGACTCTAAGCACACGTCAATGGTGAGAGCTTTATTGCCCGTTTATGCTTTAAAACATATATGTTTAAAAAAGGCTCTTTCAGTGCGCCGATAGCGTGCAGCGGATGACCGTTTGCTGCTTTCACGCGCATTCACGCTGGCGAAAATTTGTGAATTATGCGCGCACTGCAGTGCAAACGCATGGTAAAAAAAATGGCGACACCTGAAAACTGTCAACGCGCTGATGAGGATGATCGGTGTGTGTGTGTGTCAGTGCTGAGCTCTGCTGATGCCCTCTTGCAGTCTCACTCGGACGGAGAATCCCAGCGGTCCAACATGGAGCGGGAGGACACCCGCTCTTCCCCCAGCACTCCGTCCACCCCCTCCGTGTGCTCGCCGACCTCCACCACCAGCTCGGTGCCGTCAACCGGGAAGAACCTGTGCGCCAGCTGCGGTCTGGAGATCCTGGACAGATACTTGCTGAAGGTGAGAGGCCGGCCGTACTTTTAGACTTTATGTTTTCATTTTTACATTAACAGACAGAAATAGTTCCTCTGCACAAGGCAATGGGGAGCTAATGAAGTAGGATGCTGTGCTGACTCTGCCCTTATTTTTGGATTTGGAGGCCCGCCTTAAGTTTGCACGGAATTTAACGCAATTTGGAGATTGAAAGCAAAAATAAATTAATAAATACAACTTCAAACTGAAAACAGAAGAAAAGAAGAAAAAGAAAAAAAAAAGGTTGCAATGATATTTGAAAGCAGCTATATGCCTGACTTACTTAAAACTTTTATTATCTTGTAGCCAACTCGGAAAACAGGAAAATACACAAGAGGCGATTTGTTTCTAAATCTCAGCCATGTTATCGCCACCGTAACATTTCAGGAAACGGAGATTAAACGGCGCTCTGTGTTTGGGAGACCGCAGACAGTCACAACAGGGATGTTTTGGTTCTTTTGCTGTTTCACAGCCAGGACGCCCTGCTTTTGTCGCGTGCGCTCGTGTGTTTCCAACCCCAAACAATCTTCACTAGTGCGCGCGCGGCCGTGTGTGTGTGTCAGGAAGTATGAAGATCATTAGTTCGTTATCTGCCTACTTTGTTCTCCATCCGCGTTACAGATAAGACAAATGAGATTATTTTATTTAAATATTTAATGTCTGGTCTTAAATTAAACGTTTATGCTATTATAATAAATTAGTCACACTGAAATTTTTATTTTATTATATTGTATTTTTCATGTCCAGAACTATTAGTTTATCTGCAATTATCTATAGAAGGCGTTTTGTCTATACATGTTGTAAATTCTCTGGATAGATTTAATTTATACGATCTCAAAAACTAAACAATTAAAATCTTTTGTGTGCAACAATTGTTTGTCTTCGTTATTTAGCCATTTTAAAAAAGAAGTAATATATTTTCCCCATGATTTTAAATGTCGGGACTGATTATTTAACACCGTATTCAAAATAATAATTTAAAAAACTCAAATTCATCAACGAAAAATATATCTATTAGGGCAAATAATAATAATAAGTACTGATAATCATTTAAGGTTATAAATATAAATTTAACATTAAGGCAAGTGTTTTTGGCAGCTTCCTTTAACTCTCATATGAATAAATAGACAAGCCGGATGTCTTTGCTGCCTGTAAGCTTGCAAAAGTATAATTTAAAAAAAAAGGTTTTTTAAACATTTTTTAAATTATTGTTTTCCTAAACAATTATAGTGCTGTTTAACGAA